ATTTCCTAATGTGTATCTTCTAATCCTATCCAAAATAATGGGCCCCATTCCAAAAACACAGACACAGTTATTTATGTCCTTAGAATTTGAATGGCTAAACTTTACATCAGGGGCTGGAGCCTCTCCCAGTAGATAGAGATTGAAAGGCAGGGTGACACATTCTTGGACAGGGTGTCTCACCACCACAGGGGAGAAAGTATAATGCATAAAATATACAGACCAAATTTACAACTCTTTGTGTCTCACATTTTTCATTTCCTCTTGATTCTCATTCACAATAATCTGCAAGATTTTTGCATCCAATATTCTTCTAATAAAAGTTGATGTCGAGGAAACACACTCAAAAATAAAATTGGCTTGGTCTCAAAGGAGACTTTGTGAATATGTGAAATAATATTAATATTTTGTGGGGTTCTGTCGAGCTGAAATAAAAGGTCCCCTTGGGAGCTGATGCCCCCGGGGTCCCTGAGGTGCCCAGAAGCAGTCTGGCTCTGCTTATTAAACTAGAACTAATTCTGTATGCAATGGAGCTCAGTGGCGTCCGCAGTGCGCATGTACACAGTGGTGTATACAGGGTTGAACACACAAAACTATATCAAAAACGTGTTACTAGTTCTGTGGGACTGAAGTTAAAATGAGCACAGACGTGATGAAGAAAGTGTGTGTGTGTCTAAATCTTGTGGCACACTGTGACTTTGAAATTATAAAGACAATGACAATGACTGAAAACTGTGTTTTGTTGCAGAAATTTCTTGATCCACAGTAACAAAAACGTAAAACATTAAAATTGCTGCTGTTGTTGAGCAGCTCCACAGCAGTGTGTGGAATAGAGATTGTACTCGGATGACACGACTTGTGACCTTTCTGGAGAGGCCAGTATGTTTTTACTTTCTGATGACACCACCAGTTTGTTTCCCTGAATTCAAAATGACTGATTCCTGATTCTCTCTGCTTCTTATGATGATACCTGTAAATGCCTTAATGTATTGAGATATTACAAAAACAATTGCCATGTTTTACTCATTGATAATTTGGTTAACTCCACTAATCAGTAACCTTCTTACGGACCTGAACAAGACACACTGGTGACTCCTGACATTTCCTTTAATGACCTCCATGGTGTTAGACTGATGGAATATTGATCTACTTATCATTAGCATGTCGTTTAACACAAACACAATTTCTGCTTGATATTTGATAGTCTAATTTTTCAAGTAAGTGAAGTTAATAGTAGTAAAATATTTGTGTATGTTTGTGAGTGGGTATGACACTAAAAGGTCAAACCAGCTACGGTAAAGAGACACATAATGAAGACTAAAGATTTTTAGATTTAGTGTCAGAAAGGTCACCGGGTCAAAGGTTAAATGCAGCAATAAAATGCTTTTTGTAAAGTTATTCATGGTAGTCCTTTTCAAATGTTGCACATTGTATGTTTTTCTTTATCCTATGTTCAGCTTTAATTTTTAAAACAGTCGTTCAAGTTCTCACTTACATTCTGTATTTAAACAAAAGAGCACCAATAAGAATTATGACACTGTGCGGTGTCATTGGACCAAATACATATAAAACAAAATATATATTTGATTGAAAGATAACGAATAAGGCTTTTAAGACATTCTTTCATTCTAGCTCTGAGGAACGCCTCTCCATAGGGGTTTCCATCATGCTCTTAAATCAAAAGGACAAAGGTGGAGAACACAGAGATAAAGAAAGAGGATCACGAACAAATGAAAAATCTTGCAGCTCCCTCCACCCTCATTCTCACCCTCTGCTGGAGTTTGTGTGATGAGGCCTCTCGCTGTGTTTGGAAAATTATGTCTTCTTGCCAGCCTCTCATATCAGCTTCATTAGTGAGATGGTTAAAAAACAACAACAACAAGTAATGGATGTATCCCCTCATCCCTGGTGTACGCTGCACACGTTTGTTTGTAAAATTAAAGTTGGCACAATGGTTTATTTCATTTGATTATTTAATCCCTTCCAAGCACGGCTTTATGACACATCAGCAACGGAGACTGAGCTTTCAATTCATCTTTACTGACTTTATTAGTTTAGTTATGTTTGTTTGGACCTCAGTTCACAATTCACCATAATAAAACACAGGAGAGACACGGGAGGGAGGTTAGCAGGATAGTTAAATCTGAGTGCATATAGGTGTAAATTACTTTAGAGATGGACAGATTTATGACTTTGTCGTGCTGTGCATTCATTTATTGAGATTGTGCTGTTGTTTTAGCAGAAACCATGAGCGCTGCAACCATTAGAGCACTTGCCTGGTTGTCATTTTTACAGAGAGAAAAACAAAGACTATAATGCAAAAATGGGTTTGTATCCATGTCTTTGAGTGTGAATGTTTTCATCCATCAATCCAGCTTCTGCATAAATCGCTGTAAATTGTATATGGATAGAGAGCATACAGTTTGGTGTATTAATCAGTCTGTGTGGCTCCCTAGCAGCAGTGAAAGGGATTCTGCTGTGCTGAGCAGCTTCTCGCAGCTCCTCCGTCTCTGACCTCAGGCTCAGTCCTGCCATAACTCTCCTTATTACAGCCTTAATGGGCCAATCAGCACCGTACTGGGCCAAAGGCACACTCATCTAGTCTTCACAGCTCTACAGGGCTGTAGAGCATGTTTCCCTCCTTCTCTGTAATTCTCATTCACAATACAAGTCTTTCACCTTCCTTCCACTATTTCCCAGTGGATTGTTCACTGTATGTTTATACAAGGGAGGGTGCAAGGGTATGACCTCTTGAGCACTAGACTTGTACTAGAGTGAGTTATTGTTTGTTTGTTATGTGCCTGTCTTATTATGTCCTTGTATCACAGTATGTGTGCATAGAATATTATATATGTTATATAAATGTTGTAGGCTGTTTGTTCACTTGCTGATGTATGTGTACTCCTGGTTTATATGCATATGGTTTTCATAATTTCAGATCTGTCATTTAACAAAATCCTCCAATCTGTTGGCTCATTAAAACCGTCATTGAGCTCAGAAGGCTGATTTTCTCAAGTTATGACATTGTCTTCACCCTGTAGGGAGGGTATGCACAGATACTAGACCATAAACACTGCCGGCCTTAATGCTTATGAGTCGTTCTGATCTGTTTGTCATTGTCATTGCTAAGATCCAACACCAGTTTGAAAAATAATTCTTCTGAAGAGTGCATAAATGTGTATAACGTAATGCATCGTCATTGTGTATGGTGTCATTACATACACCCACTCACCCCCACAATCATCAAAACAGTGTGTCACGTATCAAATAATAATAAAAAAACCTGATTATTTTTTCTCTACCTACCTTTTTACCTGCAGTGTGAACACATTACAATGAGTACAAACCACTGAGCTAACAAGCATTTGATGGTCGAATATGAGACTACCTCAGATGACTTGTTAATGGAACAGATTATTGTGTTTGTTTTTACACTATGGTGAGATCAGGGACTTCCAAGGTCATTAACAATGCGGACTGAGTGTGTGTTTGAGTGTGTGATGTAGGTGTATGTGTGTCTCCTTTTATTTTTGGGAAGCTCTAAATGTGTGTGGAAGGTTAGGTTGAGAGGATCAATAATGGTGATGTGATTCGGGCCAACAAACACATCATTTTAATCACCTTGGACCTACAAGACTACACCAACTTAGTCCTGCCACTCTCTACACTCCACTGTGTGTGTGTGTGTGTGTGTGTGTGTTACAGTCTGTGGGTTAATATGCGTATATCAGCATTACACACATTATTCATCAGAACTTTCAGCTGAATAACAGACTTTCCTCCTGAACACTGTTCATACCAAAGCTACGTCCACCATAGGAATCAGGGACATCTTGGCACAAACTGTACAGACTCAGTAGGTGCGGTATATGGCAGCGTGTTTGAAACTCCACCAGGTAAATTATAATCTGACTGCAGGCTGCTGCCAGCAAAAGAAGGGTAAAAGGTTAGTAAGACCATTAAAACTACTTTCTGGATTAGAATTCAGCCTTAGTACACAAGAATATGTTCCAAAGTACAATTTGCAGGAAAGGGATAGCCTAAGCCAAAACACTGAGAGCATTTTAAAAAAAGTCCTGCTCTGAACATGATTAATCCGGCACTAGATTTCTTTAGTTTAAAATGCAAAAACAAAAAAACTGACTGCACACCTACACCCTTTGTATATAAATCAAGGCCTGACCTTGAGAAACTATCTGTAGTGACTGAAGGGGTATACTTTACCGTCAGCTATGAAATATGTGGTAAATACGCTTCCTTGCTCCATCAGAATAAAGACCTTTAAGTTTAGATACTGGTGCTTAGTTTTGAACAACCTTTTAAAATAAAAAATAATTATCCCTCAACCCACGTTTCCTCTTGTTTCCTTTATTTTCCTCCAGGATCCCTGCAGGGAGAACACCAGAGGAGGTTGTACAAGGAACTGCTGGCTAACTATAACCGGTTGGAAAGACCTGTGGTCAATGACTCAGCCGCCATCCTGGTGGAGCTGGGCCTCACACTGCTGCAGATCATAGACGTGGTGAGGAAGACAGTGTGTGTGTTTGTGTGTGCGTGTTAGGCAGTATAGAATGTAAGAAGTATGGCAAGTAGTGTTGCTGTGCAGTATGACCAAAAAATAGTGATATCATGTATTTTTTGGTTAATGATATATCACGGTATGCATGATTGGGCATTTGTATAGATTTATATTGGCTTAATCTACTATCAGGAGCACATAGAATATACACACATTTTAATTGTGTGTACAGAATGTAAACAATTTGCATTGTGCTAACTGCAACGTAGTAAAAACAGAACTTAAAAATAAAAAAAGATAAGCCAACTTAAACATTTCTTCCTTGTAAAAACTAAATATTTAAAAATAGTTGTATAAAGACTATAAATTGATATCATATACTTAAAGTATTTAAGAATTCAAAGAGATATTTCTCTGTGTTCTATTGCACAAGTAAACAAATGAGTTACAGCTGTTGTTTCTGCTATGGCAGTATATGAAAAATTCATATCCTACAGGAATTGAAAACCAGTGTACCAGTGTTGCCCAGCACTAGTAGCAAGATATGAAATTTATGTTTTGTGTCGCAAACAGTGTGCCGTTTAGAAACTTGAAGTGGAAGTTTGCCAATGTGTTAGTAACTTGCGTATCTGAGTGTCACATTCACACTATAAAACACAACACAATCATTGCAATTAACCACACAAAAAAGCATTTCTGTAACTCTCAGTAATAATGTATGATGGATAAATGCAGAGTGAAGAATCCAATAAAAACAAAAAAGAGAGAAAATGCTTGAAAAATTGAATATTCTCACGAGGGGTCGAGTTACAATCTGAGTTTTGTGTTGGTCTCTAAAATAAGTCATGTTATGAGCAATGATAAATAAATAATAGCCAAACAGGTGCACTTTCTGCAAGAGAGGCAGAGCGAGACCAACACTTTCTCACACACACACACATACACACACACAAACAAACAGCAGCCCACTAACTGCAACAGACCCTTTCTTATGGGAGCTCAACTCCCACTGGTTTCCACATAAATCAAACCCTGATTCTCACTACAAACAGAGAAGTAATATGTGCAAAGGGAAATATGGTTTTTTAATGTCTTATGTATAGCTACTTTTGTATTTTATTGTCTATGGTTGATGTGAGCTGTTTTAATGTTTTCTGTGAGTGTGTTTCAGTCTGATGTGTGTATGTTTGAAGTGGGTATCCTTATTACACTTGCAGCAGCAACTTTGTGCTTATGGGACCGTGTTAAATGTCGGTGGAAGTAATGCAATTCTGTTGTTTGACTTCTGTTACATAAAAACCCTCTGGACAGGGACACACAATAGTTACACCTGAGGACTTTTATACATTGTTCTTTAGTGTTCAAGGGTTGACTCTCTACCTGAAAGCATACTTGTCTGGAACCTGCATGTCTTAATTTCTCTTCTAACACTAATGTTCCATTGATTTTAAGCTTTGTCCATCAAGGGGAAGCTGGCTGAGCATAGTTGTTTTACGCAGAGATAACCAGTCATCTTGCTGCACTGAAGCAGAGTGGCGTTAAGGCTGCCAGCACAGGGGGCTGCTATAAAAAAAAAGCAAGGTTGTCCAGCAGAAAAATTGAACCAGGCTCAACCTTTGCCTCAATGCGACATCATCCAGCAACACACATTTCTGGTGGATAACTTTGTAGCGGGAATGTTGTATTTACACCTAACCTAAGGCCAGGATGAAAGATAAAGTTGTTGCTTCTGTGATAATTTTCTTTGTAAAATCCTGTCTGTGAGTATTATAAACCGCTGTGCAGTGTTTTTACGCCTGATAAGTCTTTAAATGCATTAATCTGTGACTCCAACAGGCCTTCCTGGATCTTATTTCATGCTCCCCCTCCAACGTTGTTTTAAAGCTGGGCTGTTTTCTGTCTGAATCTTGCTCCTTAATATTCACTGAGGGAGGGGTTAACATTGCTTATTTACTTTACTTTCCCCATCCACATTTTCGAGAGTGTAGATAAGAGGTGTCAAACTCTCCCCGAGGGCAGCTGTCCTGACAGTGTTTTGTGTCTAAGTGAGTTTCACACCACTGACACATTCCCAATTTCTAAAAATTAACATTCCTTCCTCTGCCCTCCAGCCCGTGACCCAGAAATCAATCCAGGTCTACTATCTTTAATGACTTTTCAGATTGTAAAAAATCTTCTTAGAGTAGCAGTTGTCCTTCAAATGAATCCTCGACTCATTAACCACTAGAGAGGACCAAAAACCTGCGAGACACGCCATAGGCTGCATGGACATTTGTCAGTCAGCCCGTCCACAGAGAGACAAAGACACTTTAGGGAAGTGTTAGTCTGTTAAATGCACTGAGTTTCATACCAGCCAGATGTCTGCTCTCATTTGTCAGAAAACACAGATATACCAGGGTTTTATTTGTGTGTGAGTGTGTTCTTCCCACTGGGCCTCGTGCTTTTCACAGTGGGGCAGTTTTAGGGTTGTTTGTCCTTGTTCCTGTTAGCTGTTGTTGTCTTATCTGTGTGAGGGGAGGAGAATGGAAGGGTGATGGATGTTTTATGCAGAGTCTACAGAGCTTCTAACAGAAACAAGTCAATTAGAGAAGTCACCTAATTTACAAACTGTGGTTATGTGGCCATTACGTTGTAAGAGGAGGATGGGGATGATGCATATCCCCTGAATGGTTGGAAACATTTGCTACTTTTCTCACCGAAACTTTGAGCAAGGCACTAAAGCTAAGGTGGGATTCAGTCCGGCCAGCAGTTTAGATGCTGCAAGAATTTAAATTCAACCTTGCCAGAGAGCCGAAGTTCAGTAAAAAAAAAACATCTTCAACAGATCAGATCTTAGCAAATTGTTCTAATTCTTCTCTGTAGCCTCCAGACAAGCTAATAATTTGCTGAAAAATGTTATTAAAAAAATAAAATATTCTTATCTAAACACTGTGAACACCTTGTGTCACTGTGGGGAATGTATTCCAAATATGTAGCAGTAGTTGATGTGCTGAGACCCCGAGGTGTGCTAGTACACTGTAATTTTACTGCCAGTGGGAACACCAGCAAACATTCAACTCATTTATTCATCAGCTTTTAAATAAACAGTGTTGACTGACTGGTTCTTGTATGTTTCTAGGTCAGGTTTCAGGTGTTTGTCCATAGAGAAGAAAAAAAAAACAGACACATGATAAAAGAACCACACAAAAACATATTCATGTTGAAACAGAAGATGAAAGTCAAGAAAAACGTGTTTGCAGGCAATTAGTCTGCCTATTATTAGGACGGTCGCCTAAAAGCTTGGATTTTGTCAGTCTAATCACTGCACTGCACTGTAACAGCATGGTAGCCTGTGAACTTTATTAATTGAATCTTAAAATAACTAATAACAAAACTAATGGAAGTAGAGAAGGGTAATGGAAACAGAGGGCAGTGCGATACCAGAAAGAAACTACTTTTCACCCGGATGCTGGTGCGACCTTCTGACGATTGTTTTGATGTTCTCACTCACAAAATGTTTTGTTTTTACAGATAAAACACGAGACTACATGTAGGCTGATATATGAGTGTAATGTAAGAGTGTCTGCTCTGCAGTGGTGGAAAAAAGTTTAGTACCAATACAACAGTGTAGCAACTGTCTGTTACAAGTAAAAGCATCAAATGCATTGCATTCAAATGTTTACTTGAGTAGAAGTGCAAAAGTATTACCAGAAAATTTACTTGACATAATGCATAATGATCAATTTCAGAATTATATATACATATATGTATACACACACATACATATCATATAATTTGATTATAATGATTGATGTTTCCCTCTGAAATTTAGTGAAGTAGAAATATAAAGTAGCATAAAGTAGAAATAGGTGAGCAAATTTTGTGTGGATACATTTTATACAAGAGTTCTATTTTAATCATTTCAACAAATTGCAAACACACACACAGAAACCAACCAATAGGGGATTCGAAATCTACGAAACTAAGTAAGTAATTACTTATTATTAATATTAACGTTTAATGATAATAATGTTTTATAATCTGGATATTGTCTCACTGAGATTAAACATCCATTTTACAGGAATGCCCTGGATAAGCCATCAGCAGCATATAGAACATACAACACAGAATAGGTCTGGGCAATAGAAAAACTAAAAATATGTATCAGCAATAGACCAACCAATAGTCCATCAACAGTAATAACGAAATTATTCAATAGAATGTTGATCACTTTCACTTAAATTCATTAAATTCAAACTGCCATGAAAGAACATAAGAAATACGCCCTGGTTCATAAACATCATATCCCTTCATAATGGAGCGTGCTATGAGTGAATCACTATAGTAACTTCCACTGTGGAGTACGTAACATGTCATTAGTCACAACCTATATTTGGTACATCTCAAGAAACAATCCACAGGCAGTTCATGATGGAGAGGTTCTCAGCTACAATATGACAAAACATTAACATTGAAACCGTTATGTTGTGCTGTGATAAATAAAATAATTCACTCTGCCCAAACATAGAAGCTACAAATCATATAATTCAGACTTACTGTAAAATATAAATGACAGGAATTGGTAAATTGTTGCTTTTATATTTTTTAATTGCTGAGGATACTTGGGTGATACATTTATGATCAATATTTGTGATCATTAGTGTGTTTGTAATAGTTAATATAATGAAATAAACACACTCATTGTTCATTGTGCATCGGTTCACCGAGAAAATAATCTCTCTGCAAGTTTGTTTTGTGACTTTTTTTTCTCTGAATATGATTTCATTTGTCACATTGTTTTTTTATTGTAGCCAGCATGACATTTTACAGTTCATTGCAATTGTTTAAATCCACTAGGACCTACTGTATTGTAGTTGTTTTAAAGAGTTGTATATTTGTTAGATGGCTCCACTGTGTAACCATTTAACAGAACTACGCTTAGTTACATAAGACTACAAAGTACAAAGTTGTGTAAGTTGTTTTACATTGCCTGGTTTGTTCTTCTTTGCATATGCAAAACAAATGCACTGACTTGCTGATGACGAAGCCCTTTTTCCACTCTATTAAATATGGATTGTCCTATTCTCTCTTTTCCTCTTCTTCGTTTTTCTTTTTCTGTCCTCAGGATGAGAAGAACCAAGTGCTCATGACCAATGCCTGGCTGCAGCTGGTGAGTAAATGTTTGAGACGGGCATGTCATTATCGACTTAATGTGCTTTAATTAGGGACCGAGCACTGACCAGTGCAAGGACCCTATTGTTCCTGTAGGAATTATTATTATTTGGGAACTCTTCGACTGCA